GTTGAGGGAGGTGGGTTAGGGTGTCATTCTTAGTCACAACTTAACATGCGCTGGCGAGATGGCAAAGGCTACTGACTGAGGGAGGGAGAGCTAACTAGCTGCGGTTTGCACGAATTCTGTGCCAGGCTCGCGCTGTTTCTCTGACAGGATCTCTCTTTGGAAGGTCTGATTCAATCCACATGCTGTTGTGTAGTTTAATTTTCACACTCATCATGAAAGATCTGTTAGGCAACCCAGTGAGTGCTGGACTGTCATTGCCCCGTAGACACACCCTGCTTTAAAATGCAGTTCCACACAACCTGCTTATTTAATTTCACAAGCACACATAAACGTGTTAAGTTTATTATTTATCACGTGTGTGTTTATGTGTGCCATGATGTATATTTGCAAGTCAGCGGGTTGCCCGTGGGGTTGGGTTCTTTCCTCCTGCAGAGTGGGCCTTAGGAATAGAACTTGGGTCCTCATGCTTGGTGGCAAGCACCTTTACCCTCTGAGCCATCTTGTCAGCCCTCAGGCACACGTCTTCACACAGAGATCATTTATTCTGTCCGGGAGGTCATTATTTGATACAGAGCTGAGAAGCCTGTTTTGGAGACACAGGCAGCACTGTGGGTCTGTAACCCCAGGGGCTGGCTGGCCCCATCCTTGCCCCAGATTCTGTGAGAGACCCTGACTCGAGGGAATAAAGGTAGGGGGTGAGAGAACAGGACACCTGATACCCTTCCTCCTCTGACCTCTGCACACACACATGTGAATCCACCATGCACGCGTGTGGGCATGCCCCTCCCCACAAACTTCTTTGATGGCAATTATTGTTCCTGACTGGTGGAGAAGAGGGGTCTCCTCCAGAGAGAGGTCTTGTACATGAGTTAGGAGTCCATGACTAGAGGCTGGGCAAGGCACAAGGAGCTTCCCCACAGCGATAACACCCAGAGATTAGGCCTTAAGTGTGCGGGCAAACCTTTCTAGTCCCTCACCGCTCAGGAGACGTCAGACCTACCATGAAGACAGCAAACCTTTTTCGTGTGCATCTCACATTACTCCAGCAACAGACTGATGGTAAGAGAAACACAGAGTCCTTGGTAGCTTAACCCTTGCTTTGCTAAACAGCCCATCCCTGTGAAGGGGCAGGGGACAGGAAACACTAGCACCCAGTGCTTGGCAGTGGGCCAAGATGCCTACTGAAGGGGAGGACAGTCACGCACAGAGACAGGCCCAGTCACACCTGGCCACCTTCAGGCTTTTGCTCTTGCCTTGCTTGCTCTTTGACCTAAATTTCTCACGAGAAACAAAAACATTGCAAAGAAAAAAGCAGTATTTTTTTCTGCACCCAGAAGTGTTTTGGCGGAAGCCAGCATAAGACTCTAGCCGCCCTATCAAGCTCTGGAGGTTCTCCTAGTTCTCCTGGGACATTGAGGGGTTGGAGTTGAATGAATGTAGGCAGGGCTTCCCTCAAATTAAATTCAATTTTCATTTCAAAAGTAACCACTGGGTTCTCACCCCCCAGGGCATTCCTCCTTCCTGGTGATGACAGGGTGGCATTTATTTCTTTTGTATCTTTCATAATTCTCCTAGTTACCAGCTTTTCCCCTAAGACTACCGTTTTCTCTTATGCATGCTTCCCTTACATTTTTATGACTCTGAGTGTGATTGCTCACAGCACACCTGGAATCCCAGACATGGGAAGGCGAGCCATCAGGGTTTTGAGTTCAAAGCCAACCTGGGCTACTTCCCTAGGGAGGGTCTTTCTCAAAGAAACAAAATGTCCATAGACCCTAAATACATAGCAAATATTTTCTTTGGAATATCAAAGGCTTGACAGCACTTAAAAAAACTCTATATTCATCATGCACAGTGCTGGGCTTCATGAAGAAAACGTGTTTCTAGTATGAGATGGACCTCCCTGCATCTCATTGCCTTCTTTACCCTGTGTCTTACCCCTTTCTGTTTTCCCATTGGTCAGCTTCCTCCTCAGTCCTCCCCCCTGCCCGCTTCCACTGAAACACCTTCATGTGGTTGTACGAATCCATGTAAAATCAGTTTGCACACACGAGCACAGGCATGAGTGATTAGATATGTTCCGGTGACTCTGATTCAGGGTATCTGTTTGCTGCCCAGATGTATGTTGGTAAATTCCCTACAAATATATGTGGAATATTAGTTGCTAGTTTGAAGGCTTGTCCAACTCTTGACATCACCAGGCATCATTATCATCTGTTCACACTTGAGAACAAGTTACAGAAAGAATAATCAAACATACACAAAAATCTCATGTTTTAATGTTTAAGTGAGTTTGGGGTTTGCCTTGGGCATCGGTTGTAGACATTCATGACCACGTGTGGGTTGGACAAACTTGCATGGAAAACTTGTAAGTCGTTTATTGCTTTAACACATAAAATTAGTAAAGCAGCATTTTTATTAGCTTGTGAAGCCTGTGTATTCCAGTAGGAATTGAATCCTGGTGTCCCTCGAGAAATGTGTGCAGTTAAGTTTGGGTCTGGAGGGTTCATATCAGGTTTGGGAACAGTGGTTTGAATGATTCTAGAGTAATACCAGCAGATGACTTAGTCACCAAAGGAAAACTTTGAAACCAGGTTTTTAGATTTATTTTTATTGTTTTTAATTATGTGTAGGTGCCTGTGTATAGTGCATCATGTGCTTGCAGTACCTTCAGTGACCAGAAAGGGAGGGGCGTGTCAGGAATTGGAGTTGGAATTACAAGTGGTTGTGAGCCATTCAACCTGGGTTCTTGGAACTGAATGCAGGTCCTCTGCAAGAGCAATGAGTGCTTTCACCTGCTGAGTCATCTCTAGCCCCAGTAGCATTGCCTTAATTAACTCTCTTACCAGAAAACATCTCTGCCTGCTCTAACTTGCGTAGTCAACTGTGGATTATCTGGACAGCTCTGTGCATGGGAATGGAAGCTTGCTATATGGCTGCGAGCTTTCTCCTTTCTAAGAAGAGTGGGTAGGAAAAGAGGGGATTCCATTTGCTCTACTCTGGGAATAAATATGTTCCCACTATGAGACAAAGACTTGCCCCTTTGAACACTTTGGCTAGGAAAACTGCAATTTGTTTGTGCTGTCAAGAAATAACCAAAAGTTCTTCAATAGCTTCACTATTTCTATTTGATACAGTTTCAATATCCCATTGACTCCAGGGAACCTTGTATAATTGCACCAATGTATGAAGTTCTCCTCATGGAAGAGAAAGCAAAAGAGGCCTAGGCGGGGGTTGGAGACGGTCTGCAATAGTGAACAGAGACATGGCGGAGCATGGTGGAAGACACTAGTCTGCCTCAGGCTAGTTCTGCTTATTCTTGATTTAAAAAAAATCTGCAGGCCACTTTTAGTTCTTATAGCAAAATACCAGAGGGCCACACATTTCATTAAGATAAAAAGTGGTTTATTTAATTCACACTTTCTGGACCAAACTGGGTAGTTCCATCCACTGGTTCACCCCAGCAAAGCCTTTCTTGTAAATGGCTGGAACACAATGGGGACAGGAAGACAGAGTCAGTGCCCAAGCGAGCCCCTTTGTAGCCAAACTGTTCTTGGGGGGAACTTACCAGGGCTCTGGAAGAATTGCATTAAGCCCTCCCTCTGGTGAAGGTTCCCCGCCCCCACCCCATGAGCTAGCTGCCTTACATTGCATCTCTTAGAGCATCATCTCCTCTTCTTACCGCCATACTGGGGACCAGCATCCCAGAGCTTGAGACATGGTAGAGCATCCCCAAAACGTGTCCAAGCCAAACAAGTGTATAAAACCATTAAAAAAAAAAGCAAGGGAAACAACTGCTATTTCCTAACACGCAGCAGTAGGAAACATGCTGCCAATAATGTCTGAAGGAATGTTTTAGGAAGGCATTGAAGACTTCCTTACTCCTGAATCTAACAGTGGGAACAACATAAACACATGAGCCCCATGCTTGAATAACTTGTTGCTGTGAGAACCTGGAGACCATCTTTTCTTTTTCTAACTGACAGTAATGTCAGGGCTGAAGTTAACCTGTAATCCCCACTTGCCCAAGGGCACATAACTTCCCGGAATGCTGGGGGTCTGTGGGTCTTATGAGGTAAAAAGGCAGGAAGTACCATAACCTCGTGAGTGGGGGTTGCTTTTATAAGCACCTGACTGACCTGAAATTGGGGCCATTTCTCCGGGAATCCCAGGTGTGGATCTGGCCAGTGTTCATCTTCCTGGCCAGTACCGAATAAAGCTCCCTTTAATCAAATAATTGTGGAATTGGTCTTTGTCCTGGCGATTCTCAGGCTTCATAGTGGCAATTGCCAACTTAAAGGCACTACAGCTTTCAGAAATCTTCGTGTGTGTGTGTGTGTGTGTGTGTGTGTGTTCACATGTGTGAGTATGCACACACCCATAGAGGTCAAAGGGCAACCTTGGGTGTAGATCAGAGGAAAACTTTGGGTGTAGGTCCTTACTTTTGATTTTGTTTGAGATTGGGTCTTATTTGCCTCCATGTACTCCAAGACTAGCTGGTCCTCATCCTCAGGCTAGCTGGTCTGTGTACCCCAAGACTAGTTGCTACGTGTACCCCAAGACTAGCTGGTCTTCATCTTGAGGATAGCTGGCTTACAAGCTTCCCAGGGTCGATATTTCGCTCTTAGAGTGCTGGGATTGCAGACTCCTGCTCCTACATGTGGCTTTGTGTGAGTTCTGGGCATCCAAGCTCAGGTCCTGACACTCATACAGCAAGCATTTTAACTACCTTCTTCTCTTCCCTCAAGTTGTGGGGTACCAAAGTTAAATCTGAGTGAGAGGCTCTACAAAGAAAGCAAGCTGTTATTGCAAACCTCCTGACATGGAATGGAGATGCCCAGGCCTTGTCTGGGGGAATGCTGGGTTACATGAGCAACGGTAGCAACGGGAGGAAAGCTATTACCGGATATTAGTCAGACCAGCTGGAAGGAAGCCTCGTAGGTCCAAAACCAAAATGTCATGCATTTTCAGGAAGGAAGAAAAAAAAAACCCAAATGACATGAGCTTGTAATGTATATTTTATTTTGCACAAGCTTGCATATATACTGCACATACATTCAGTTTAGGAGAGGATGGAAGGCACACAAGGCAGTTGACTACTGCACCCTTTCGTGGTACAAAGCAGACGGTCAGAGTTCGGAGAATATAGAAAAGCTTAAAACACACAGCGGAAACCCTCCCCGCCCTCCCCATGACAACGTTGTCCTTCAGGTTTTCCTTGTTTTAAAATTTAGTAGCTGCCAAACTAAATCGTTTTACATTTTACTTTAAAATCAATCGTCTATGGCACCTTTTATGTTTTCTTTTGAATATGGACAGGGAGTCTCACTGTTTTTATCCTATCAATTAATATTACAGTACATCCTTGGTAATACAAAATTGTACACCTTCATCAAATAAATTAGGATAAATTAAACCAATAAATTATGCAGTCTTCAGAACAATAGACAATAACAAAATGCACAATTGAAATTGCCTCTAGCTAAAAAAAATCAAAAATTGACTTTATCAGTTCAGTTATTGTACTATATTCAAATCAAAGGGTCTTTATTACAAAAAAGAGCTCCATAATGCTATTTACAACATATTGCTAAATCATATAAAGGCAGTGTTTGTCACGGTTTATACTATATACATATGAGAAATGGCTGGGACAATGTTTGGGGGAAGCTGTGACCTTTGACTCTTCTAGGGAACTGAGACCAGCTCCAAATACATCATTTTTCCTAAGTCTAAATTTGAAGTGGCATATATAACTTTAAAATGCTTTATTCCCCATCTGCAGAGGAGTTTGTTATTACAAAAATATCTAGTGAATCCATTTTCACAAAGGCAGGCTGGCCATTTGCCTGCCTGTCCACGTCTGTGCACTTTAGGGGCTGTCTGATTTGAGAGAGAGCTCAATTGAGAAGACTCAAAGTCCACCTGCTTCCACACAGTCTTAGAAGGGTCATTCAAAAGGATGCAAAGATTAAACACCGGTTTGGATCCCAGCTCTAAAGATGAGCCTTTCAGTTTTAGTTCTTTCAGATGGTTTAAAACCAGGGGATCTACACAGGCGAAGCTGTGCTTCCTAGCACGTGACACGCATGCGCGATCGACCCACCAACCGCTACATTTTCCGAGGGGAGCCTCTGAAAGCGACGCTGCAGCCTGCAGACACAAGCGTTTACACCAGGAGGGAACGGTTGCGCTGCTCACCCCAATGAGTATAATATACACAGCAGAGACTGTTCGCGTCCTCACACACACCGCCGCTCCGGGGAATTCTGTAAACCACCCTTTGATTAACTTATGGTCGCTCTGGAGGAGCATTCTACGTTTAACTCCCCCAAAACTCTTTAAGCTAAGTAGTCGGTATTAACCTGCACGTGTGGGGCCGTAGGTGATCACTTACTAAATGCCTTCATGACACAGAAAAGAAACGTCGGCAATTTACAGAGACACCGTTACCCTTGCCCTTGCCATCTGATAGGGGCTGTTACCTTTTGCAAGTAGAGAACAGTATTTTTTGAGAATGCTTTCAACTGCCTGTACAGTCACTGTAGTGTCCCTAATAAATTCAACAGATGCTGTGATACTGTAGATATTTATTAAAAATCTCATGTCTTACATAACAACGGCCATGAGTTCAAATATTTACATTTCTTTATAAAAGTTCCCCCTTTGCTTTAGTGTTTCTGTTTTGATGATTTTAAATTGTTTTAAAAATGATATTCACCCATATTCCTAGCACAGTAACAAGGATTCTTCAAACATAAAAACACTTCAATTAAGTAATACTCAGAGGCACAAAGCAAACTTCAGGAAAATGGGGGTGTAAACGGGTACAGAAATAATTACTATATCCTAACGTCTTCCACATAGTTTTTTACCATTTAATGCAAAACACCTCCATTGAACAGCCAGAGAGACGGTGAGAAGGAAATGGCGTGTTGTTGCAAATAGAAGATTCTTCTCACAAACGTGACATACGCCTAAAATAAGTTCTTAAATCTAGATAAGAAAAGGTAAGCTTTCTACTTCACACGCATACATATGTATATTTTTTACATGTGTGTGCCTGTGTGTTCACGCACACATCTGCACACACATTGCACATGGTATGAAATATTGCTTCTATAGTGCTTCTCATTAGGCTAAGAAAACACGAGAGTTACACCACAGATACAAAACAAAACAAAACAAAAACAAAAAACAAAACAAAAAAAAAACTGGCTTCTACAAGGATCTCCAAAACGCGAATGCTGCTCGAACAATTGAGGGAAAAAAATAATTTGCGGTGTATCAAACTGTTCTAAAAATTTCTCTTCTTCAAAAACGTTATTCTCCCGCTTTGTTTTAAAAAGACACAAGATATGCATAGCTATCAACATTACGTCAAACAGCCAGAAAAAAAAATCTAGTGTTTATTGCAGCTGTAGTCACTGGAAATAAAGTAGAAAGAGATGAAACAGAGTCACAGAAGGCACAAGAACAGCCGTACTTGTGGGGAAAGAACTGGTATTTTGAAGGATTTTTAAAAATCCCAGCGCTGGTGCATTTTAGATCTAGGCACAGACTATCACCTTGAGTGTACGCGCAAAAAAAAAAAATTATAGGGTTAGCATAAAAGAAATGGCGATATGGAATTGCAACAGACTTTAGAGTTGGTCCCCAGCTCCCACTGTGAGAAGTTATCTTTCTCCTTTGCGCAGAACAGTTTTCACTTGGTGAGAGCTGAACCCATATTTGAAAGGTGGTAGATAGTTTTGTTGTTGTTGTTTTATTTAAAAACTAATGGCTTGATAGGAGACAGGCATTTTTTTTACCACTGTATGGGGAGACACATGGTCCCATGGCTGTATTGGGAGCAACCACCACAACACAAAGCCGTGAAGACCCCCTTCCAGCACAGAGCTGAGTCTGTCCCAGGCTGACTGTGAAATAATCTCCAGCCCTACTGAACACTGAGTGTAGATTCTAGGTACATAAGGGCACTGACTTTCAGTAGAAAACACATTTTTTCCCTGAATTTGTCTATTTCAATTAGAAAGACAGAGGAAAACAAGAGTTTGAAAATCCAAGTAAGTCTAGAATCAATATTCATTTGCCCCAGATTGTAAAGATACCTAGCAATCTGTCTACCCAGGACTACACTGCAGCTTTGCCTTTGACCTTGGAAAGGGTAACATGATGGGAATCTGATTGGCAGGTGACTCAGAACAGCCAAGGACCCTGCTGGACCCTTGCAGGAACTCCCCAGACAGAGCATGTCAAAGGCTTCCATGCTTCCCACTGACTGGGCTCTTGATTTTCAGCGTTTATTTCACTGGTATGGTTACCTGGGCTTTTTGTTTTAAGGACACCCAGAAAAATAATAAATATACCTTTAATAATTACATGTGCACGTCCGGGTGCATGAGCCCTCAGAGATGCCATCGTAGTGAACCATCAGTGTTGACCACGCTTTGCAGGCTCTGTCCTCATCACCAGGGCCTTCTGGCCTCCCGGAAGATGCTGGGCCTTGCAGGGCTGCACTGTTTAGCTTAAAGTCAGCAGGTTTTAAGGCTTTGTGCTGACAATAACTGTGTTCATACATTCCTGTCCATCAGCAGAATTTATAAATGATGTTGAATTACAGCGATCCAGCCAGCTAGACAGGCACAAGGGCTGACCTGCATCCTCCAAAGTCAAATGATGTTTTTCCATTTTAAAAGAAAATTCATGAAAAAATGGCATTTCTGTTCCTTATGCTTTAAATACCAGATCTGTTACTCTATTGTTTTCAGAGTGTGTATATCAAATTATCTAAGGGGAAGAAGGGCCTGGGCCACACTGTTAGAGTGGACAGTGCCGCTCACTGCATCTATACACACATACATACAAAAAAAAAAACCCAGCCAAGAAAACAAGTGAACGATATTCAGCATTTTAAATGCAAGAATAGAACACAGCACATCATCAAAAAACGGGGTGGGGGGAGGGACGAGGACAATTTGAGAATGGGTAAAATAGCAGCTAGCTTTCTCAGTATGTGAAACTGTGTGTCATCTTGGGTAATCCCAAACTAATCTTCTGATCACACTTTGATCACTATTAGCTTCTGAAGCAGGAGAGACATCATCAGCCATCAGTCACTTTGAGATGTTATACCCAAGGTGAAGAGAGAGGCTGCTACCCTTGCGTACCCATATTCAAATGAGCCATTCCTGGGTGGTGTCCTCACAGGACCTGAAGGTCAGGCCCACTAGCAGCTATCAACATGCCCCAAGAGTAGGCAAGGATTTCATGGTCAGAGGGATTTCTTAATTCCTTACTGCAGAAAGGTATCCAGAAATTAGTGTTCTAGGAGGATAAAAAAAAGGCTAAGCATATAAAGTCGAGCAAAGGATACATTTGAAAGGTACATGCCTTTTAATATCTGAAGCAAAATAAATAGGAAATGAAGACAAAGCACAGGGTTTCCTCTAAGTCGATCCCTCTGAGTGCACACCTCACCAAGCACCAGTGATAAAGTTTACAGGGACAGCTGGTCGACCTGCACAGAGTTCCAGTCTCATCTCGAGAGAATGGGTCTTATACAAAATTTAGTCTGGGATATATGCCATTTCTCTTAGAAAAGGCTTGGTGAGGATGATGGTTCTAAAATCTGTCCTTTCAGGGCACTTTTGAGATGGGAGCTGCCTGGGGCTATTGCCGCCGTTGGTTTAAATGTGTAAGAAGCAGTTACTTATGGGCTCAACTCAAACAAGGTGTTCCAGTGTGGGAAGTGCTTTCCTTGGGTTCTTCCAGAACATCTTAACCCTAGAAGCAAGAGATACAGCCAGCACAGGTGTGGGTATGTGCTGTGTCATAGTCTGGGGTTCACTCTGCTGGCCACCATTAACAATAGGCTTCCAGGTGAGCAGAGAGTCCTTGGCTCTTGTAGACTTTAAACAGGCTGACATTCCCTTCTCCTGAAAAATCAACCCTACCTCAAGTCTCCAAATATTAAGGGCCTTGGGCAAAAGTAACTAAAGGCAAAGAAGGAAAATACCCATCCCCCCTGTAGTGGGGAAAACAAACGGGACACAGAGGGGATGAGCGGGAACCACCAGCTGGCACACGACACACCCAGGCCTCCCCCACACATGTATATACGAAATAAGAATGTAGACACACAGAAGGTGGACAGCCAGGGGGGACTTGTATTCATACATTCAGAAGAGTTGCAATCTCTACTCGTGAAGGAGTTCTTGCAGGCAGTTCGGGGATTTGAAAATCTCAGGGACCTCACTATCCAGCTTGCAGATGACCTTGTAGATGGCCTTCTTCCAGGAAGGGTCTACATCTTTGCCCGCAATGATGGCATTGAAAAACTCCCGTAGTGTGATCTGTGCAACTTCCAGGAACCTCTCTGGGACCTGCTGATCCAAGGAGACAAGGGTGTTAGTAAAGTTTTCGGTTTCACGCTTGCAGTTCTTCAAAGGAAACCGAGCTAACTCCGTGCCCTCAGAGAGAGGGGCTGTGGACGGCACCTGCATCTTCTAAAAATGGCCAGCCTCTATTCTCTTCTGCGGAGTTGTTATATATAGCAGCATTGTGATAGACGGCGGCTGCTTCATGGATCTCGGGGGAGCCGAGGGTGCACACAGGCCCGCCAGCGCCGGGGTTTCTCTGTGAACACCACCATAGAGAGAGGAGACCCACATCCTCATGTGGGTAAGTAGATCGTCCTAGAAGAGACTCACCAACTCCTGTTTCAGAACTTGATTCCTCTCTCCTTTTGGCTTCCATTATGAAAAGGAAATGTGTCTCATTATCAAACCATAAATGTTGGGCATCTGTGTAAGCTAAACCCCTATCTTCAATGAAGAAACCCTAAAATCAGTACTGCAAGGTGGATAAGATCACAACATGAAGTCCTGAGAGATGAAATTTAAAGCTGAACCCCAAATTACTACATTTTGCTTGGACATTAAAATTGTTCCTTAGATGGTGGTTTGTGTCCAGTCACCGTTGTAATAACTAGTACTTAGTGTTAACTGTGTCAGGCACACCATGTTGCATTACATACTGAATGCCATTCCAGTCTTCCAAACTCTGTGTAAGAGGTTGTCTCAAGTATACAAGGAGAAAGCTAAGGCAAGGAGAGATCAAAAGGAGCCACTCAAGGTCATTCCAAGGTCATCATTCCCCAAATAATCTTTTTGGAATTTCTATTTGTCAAACCTTTGGTTCCATAGCAATTAAAGCACACGAGCTGTCTGTCTGTGTTCTCTTGCTTGCTGATTGAATAGTCTGACCTCTCGACTGTGCAAAGAACACTTAGTGTTCTTCAGAAGTAACTGAATAAAGCATGGCTTACCCTTGCCTGCATCAGCATGATGGAGTCACAGAATAACTACACAAAGTCATAATTTTCCCAGTATACATTAGTGAGATCTTATTTTTTTCATTAAGTTCAGATGTATGAGGACACAAAAGCATGGTCGTGTATGTGTAGGCACATGTGTCCTCAGAGATACTACATGAAAAACCTTCACCACAGTTCAGAAGTACCGGTTACTGAAACATTGGGGGATTATTGTCCTATGAACAAGTCCAGCATCTTCTTTGCCTTTTTTCAACAAGTGCAGTGGGCATGTACATGGATCATGTATGTATATACACACATATGTGGATGACAGATGACCCAGAAAACTAAAAAAAAAATCACTGCATGTCCCTGGATTTCAAATTTCAAATTGTTCAAAGTAGCTCATTGCTTCCAATAGCAAGCCAATTGTTCTTTAGGGAAATCTAGTAACTTCCCAGAAAGAAAAGAAAAGAAGGAAAGAAAGAAAGGGAGAAAGAAAGAAAGAAAGAAAGAGAGAAAGAAAGAAAGAAAGAAAGAAAGAAAGAAAGAAAGAAAGAAAGGAAGAAAGAAAAGGCCCTGGTATGGAGTCTAGAAAACGAAAGGAGAATGGGCCCCATTTTAATCCCACCCAGCCCTTGCATCTCTGTGAGTTCCAGGCCAGTCAGGGCTACACTGAGACCCTGTCTCAGAAATAAAGAGGAGGGTATTGAGCAATCTTTCCCAAAGGTGTTTCCCCTGGCCTGTTAGGACAGGGGTCAGAACTGACTGGAAGAACGCCGAGGGCCGAGGCCCCCGTTCTCCCCAGCCGGGCAAACAACAGTCTGAGAGCCCACACAGCTCCCCCGTAGATTCCCACGGAAGCACCTGCACACATGTGGCGGATTTCCTGGAGGGAGCGCGGTGTTCCCACCCAATGACAAGTCATAGCAAATGGGCATTGCTGAGGGAAGACACACTGCGAACATAGGTCTGCAGCCAAACGCTACATGGCCAGAGGTCAGTGGTGCAAAGCAGTGTGCACTCTCACTGGCTGTTGGCAACAGGGCCTCCATGGAAAACCGTGTTTCTCAAACAGCAAACCCAGAGCTGCAGGAGAGGGAAGCTGAGAGACACAGGTGTGAGCTCTGGAGAAACGTGGGTAAGCTAGAAGTCCCACCCACTCCAAGGGTTCCTCCCACCACCAATGGTCACACAATCAGGGGCAAGGAGGAGGGCCTTGTGGAAGCTACCAGGAGCAGAACTGTGGAGACAACTCTACAAGAGCACCAGCCCTGGAGGAGGAAGGGTGACTTCCGGAGGACTTCAGAGACGGCGTCACCTGTACCCAACTTTCTCAGTGACCCTAGCTTAGACCAGTGGCTCTTAACCTTCCTAGTGCAGTGACCCTTTGGTAGAGTTCCTCAGGCTACAGTGACCCCCCAACCACAAGATTGTTTTCATTGCCACTTTATAACTGTAATCGTACTACTGTCAACAATCTTAATGCCGAAATCTGTCTTTTCCCATGTCCTTTTTGGTATCACGACCCATAGACTGAGAACCGCTGGATTAGTGGGTCCTGTCCTGTTTCAAACGTTCGTTTCCTGAGGTCATCCCACCAGCTGCCCCGTGACAGCTTGTGTAACGTATCTGGCTTTTCACTCCCTGTGACTGGTTCTCAGTGTCTTCCTCGTAAGGTGTCTTTCGCTGAGGAGCTCAGGTCTCTCTCCCTTCACCTACAGTTCAGTGGCAGGCAGGCCTTTTTATAATTATTCCACAAAAATTGTTGTCATTAACAGGAAGACCTCACTCCTCTGCTTTATCCCATAATGCTCTGTAGTGCCTTGCTATTCTCCGTCAATGCTCTGAGCCCAAGTCTGAGTACAGCTCAATGGCACGCTGTTAGCCTGGCCTGTGCAAGGTCCTTGGTTTGAATCTCAGCATCACTAAGCAAAACAAACAAACAAAAACAAATTCATGAAGAAAGGATTTTGAGCACCATGGGTCTCAGAAACCATCATTTTATAGATAAAAAAAAAAACTAGGTGATTCTCTGGGATGGGATAAAGATGCTTGTGAACTTTGTGAACCACGACTTCTTTCCACTAAAACGTGCCGGGCGCTAACACCACTGGATGCTTTCCCACTATTTATTTATTTATTTATTTTTTGAGGCAGAGTCTCAGGTACTTCTCTGACTGGCCTTGAAACTCAACAAGCTGTCCCAGAAGATAGTCTTGACCTTCCGATCCTCCTGCCTCCACCTTCCTGGGTGCGGTGATGACAAGACCTGTACCACAGCCAGGCTTTAAGGTTTTTATAAAGGCAGGTTGACTCACGCGAGACAACAAATCCCTGACAAGTTATGTATCTATAACTGCAGAAAGCCTTCTCCGAGGAGCCCTTGCCCTTAATGTAACTAGAAATGGGCTAAGAGAGTGCGCTACCGGCTGGCTGCTGGAAACCCGTGTCTTCTCCTTGCCGCAAATGAAGGAGCTGGCTAAGGCATTGCCTGCTCTGGGCAGTGTGCACACAGCCCTGGGCCGGGCAAAAGGCTTCTTGGAGAGATCCTCTGGTACTGGAGCGGTTCATCCTTTGTTGGTGGTTCCAGAGGTATCGTGGGTTAACAAGTGCTATTCTGAGAGACTGCCGAGGGATTCCACCCACAGGTAGAAACCTCACCCACGAAAACAGGGAGCCTCAGCTCTCTGATCACAGGCTTTCTCTGTTTTTATTTGCTAGATCAAGGTAACATATTCCTGATGTTTGGGGTGGACAATGGGGTTCGGGATTAGGAACATGATATCGTCCATATTTTGTGCGCACCCCCCTCTCATCTAATGACTTTCCAATCGCTAATAGACATCTGCAGAAAAGCCCTTAGTGACAAGTAATCCCTTATCTAGGCTTCTTTTAATAGAACCCAACAATCTGTACAATGAACCCTCGAGTCTCTCTCCTCAGCATCAGGTGCAACAGTCAATCAAGCCACTGGAATGTAAGACAATGCAGGCTGCTGGGGGCGGGGGAGCGCAGAGGCCAGGCCTTTGGACATGCCACAGGGGAAAAACAAAAGGCTTCCAAAGTCTTTGGCAGAACGAGGAGGCTATTGTGGGAGCTGCTTGGCCCGGAGTTCTTCAGGAGGGAGAGTGGAAACTTTGCTTTGATAAAAAGGCATCCCAGCCTAGGAGCCTCACCCCAAATGGTCTTGCCTTGACATTTACAGAATACACGGGTGATGAGGTACTCGACTACACTGGTCACTCTGAAGGGAGTTGGCCAGCAAGGTTCCATCAATTCCACCCCAGTGATTTACTCTTGCTTATTGATCAGACTGAGCCAGTGACTTCGGGAGGATGGGAGAAGGAGTGATTCGTGTCTGCTGGGTCCACAGCTGGGCAGCACACACATGCAGTGGGGTGGGTGGTAGATGTTTTGCTGCTGCTGCCTCTCTCTCTCTCTCTCTCTCTCTCTCTCTCTCTCTCTCTCTCTCTCTCTCTCTCTCTCTCTCTCTCTCTCTCTCTCTCCTCTCATATCAGATTGAGTGGCAAAGACGTCCCCGTCCTGTCTTCCTCCTCCTCTTCCCAGTTGCTTTACCTTCAAGGATGATTTGTTTTATTAAACGAGCTGTCCCTGGTCTCTGCAGTCCATAATGAAAGCCTGACATAGCAGGCTGCCTGCCTTCTGTGTCCTGCAGACACTCATCATAAGTGTCAGGACATACCAAGGTTAGCGGTCACTGGAAGTGTGCTCGATGGCCCAAACCTTGCCAAACGCTCTTGGCAGCTGAATGAATGTCACAGAGAATAGAAGGGGAATGACAAAGGTTGAAAAGAAGACAGCCTCCCCTATTTTCTGGAGACAGAGAAGCTGAATTTTCACACCTCTGAAGCATCCACCGGCTCATTCACGGGCCTCTTGCGGGGAAACCGTAACCCTGCCCTTTGCTGGGGTCCCCGTGGACACTTCTCCACCCTTGATCCCCTTCAAAAACTGGCCCACTGGCCTCCGCTCACCGGTGGGATCGTCTTTACTGCAACGGCTAGAAAACAAGCCAGGCGTTGTCTCTCTCCCTAGCCCTCCCAAGAA